ACACACACACAACACACACACACACACACACACACATATATATATATATATATATATACTGGCTTGTTGGTGCTATGTTTATACCTACCCATATGCATACCTTCCGAACGCACGTGCACACAGGCCAAACTTACACCGAGGCGATCTGCAGATATGCACCCTACATGTACTAATAATCATATCTCCACCTATATACAGCCTCTAAACGTACATATACTCTTATACACCTAACCCTCTATCCCCCCCCCCCCCCGCCCCACACACACACTCAGGCCACCCTTGCTCTGAGACACACAGACCAACTGTGCACACTACTGGCACACCAGTCGGAGACTATCAACAACACCGTCATGCTGCGCCTGTCGCTCATACAGCACCTGTTCACCGAAGTACTGCCTCTGCCGCTACCCTCCACACACCCCGATCGCTCGCGGATGTGCATATGGGCCACGCCAATGCTATACGACACCCAACTGAACCAGCTCAGACTCATCCGGCTGCTGGCCAGGCACTACATCTCCTGTGCCATGTCGCTCAAGGTGTGTTGGTGTTGTACTGTTGGCTGGTTTGTGTATGTGTATGTATTTATATGTATATATGCATATATATGTATATATGTATTTTGATGTAAATTTATGTACATATATGTATGTATATGTATTTATATGTATATATGTATGCGGGTTGGATGTGCAGTATTTAGTTTTTCTTACTTAACTGAACCAGCTCAGACTCATCGGGCTGCTGGCCAGGCACTACATCTCTTGTGCCATGTCACTGAAGATGTGCTGCTGGGGTTTGAGCGGTTTTGGGTTCAAGGTTGGTCTATTGTTCAGCTAAAACTCTATTGTGATCCCATTAACCAGCGCTACAGTCACAGGTCACACTCTGTAGTCAATCGGTGCCACCGATGACAGTGACTGTGCGTATACCGTTACACGCTCCTAAGCACACACACACTTATCCACACCTACATACATACCAATTGAAAGCTCTCAATCTCACAGACATGTATACCACATGTCACATATACCTAAATACAAAGTATTCATTCTCTACATGACCATCTGTGCACTACAGGTCACACGCTCCTAAGCGCACACACACCTATACATAACACTTATCCATACCTACGTACATACCAATTGAACGCTCTCAATCTCACATACATGTATACCACATGTCACATATACCTGAATACAAAGTAATCACTCTCTACACGACCATCTGTGCACTACAGGTCACATGCTCCTAAGCACACACACACCTATCCATACCTATGTACATACCAATTGAATGCTCTCAATCTCACATACATGTAAACCACATGTCACATATACCTGAATATAAAGTAATCATTCTCTACACGACCATCTGTGCACTACAGGTCACACGCTCCTTTGATGCCAACCGTATCCTGGTGGTGTCCGCCATGGCTACTCTGGCGGATGCTCTAGTGCGAGTGATAGCCAATGATCTGCCGTCTATTTTTAGCCAGCACATGTGCGGTACTCCACCCCCGGCACCCGAGTTTAACTTTCATGCGTTTGGTATCGATGTGGGATCGTTTGAGACGCAGAGCGAGTACATGCAGTTCACCACACCTGAGGCATGTTTATCCTTTATAGTTGGTAGCATGCTATAGCACACACACACACACACACACAC